TTTTTTTGGGATCATATGGTGATTTAAATAACAAGCTTATGCATATAATTGATTGCTGATGAAGTGGAATCAGCTGATTAAACAAAAAACAAATTACTGCCTAAATTACTAACCTATATCACAATCTCTGCCTGTCCATCCAGATTTACAAACCAATGAGCCATTTGATGCGCACTGGAAATGACCAATGGTAGTGGAAATTGGTTGGCAAAAAGCATTACAAACGGGTCCATAGTAGTTCGGATCGCAAACCACTCGATACGCTATTCGCATTCGAAATCCATCCGGTCCGACGAGTGTCTCTTCTCGCCATTCCTCACTCGATGGAATATTTTCACGCTGAAATCCCTCGTGAAAGACCAGATCCTTCAAGCCTGAAATGCTCACAGTCAATTGAAAGAGTACCGCTAAGATAGAAAGTATTCAGTGTGATAATGCTAAAATCAATAGCATCGCAGAATTTGAATGCAGCAATTGATTTAGTGCATTTAAATTGTGTTTCATGAGATCACATTCTTCGTCTCATAGGTGCATGCACCTAATTGATTTAATAGAGCGATTACAAAACCATAGTACCCATCCCCAACATGAGTTCACTCCGTATGAAATTATTCAAGTAGCCCTTTTGATAAGATTTCTTTTGAAGTTACATTTGTTTATCTTCACGAACCCATCAATAAATAATAATTTCCGCTCAACAAGCAACAACCCATTCAGTTTGCTCACTTATCAATAAGATGCTATCAGCGGCTGATAAACTACACAACGCAGATAACAAGCATCAATGGAGAGAGATGTATGTCAACGCATCAATTATTTTGATAATGATTAACTGAAAAAAACAGTCTGTCGAACCGATGCGTGTCTGAACAATCATTAGTCATTTTATTAATAGTTTACTTGATAACTAAGTAAACTCTCAGATGCCTCCAAAAAGAACTGGTCAAAAAACTGCATCCCGGCTGGCAAATTCATCAACTTATGATTAGGTGTAATTGCTCAACAGCTCAATCAGGTACGTGATCGATATTTGACAATCAAATGATACGAGTTGGCAAAGTATAAATCTGTTGGATCGAATGAATCCTTCAAATGATCTGTGCATATTGTGTAATTGATCTATATCTGATGTGTTCGATGACAACATAAAAACCGCGATTGTGTTATGCAGGTGTGAGAGAAGAATATTCACACGTAATGTTCAAATGACTTTTATTTGCCCGATGAAAACATCATCATCGTCATCATAAAAAAAGAATACGAAATGGGTAATAAATGATGATTTTGTGGAGTATTTGCAAGTAGCACTGTTTTGTGGGCTGCTGAAGAAGAAAAAAGACGCAAGAGCGAAGTGCTTCAGAAAGATGCCGAATTCAGATTAGTGAATGTATTTATATCATGAACACCAAATCGTTTTAATACGCAATCCAATCGCTACGTTCATCATGATTATTATTACATTATGATGAGATGTTCAATACTCCCTACTATCACAAAAAATGTTATATCACCTGCACACACACACCTATTGAATGATGCTGTCTTGTGACCAGGTAGGTATACACTTTGAAAATGCAACTTCATATTGCAGTAAGTTAAACTTTTCTATAAGCGTGTGCTGTGTTTGAAGCTATAAGCTGGTACTGAATAAATAACGTGTAGCGAAGTGAACAGCGAAGGAACGGAGCGAGTATTTTTGCAGCCAGTCCAGTCAATGGCAAAGTCGCCTGAGGAATTGAACAACTTGAAAAGATAGTGAGACAGTCAAGACAGATTTCAATTATTCAGGAGATTTATAGGGAACGGTTGGGTGGGACTAAAACAAAGAAGATCTCAAAATTCAGTGGTCCACGAAGACAATCTAAGGATCTTGCTTGAAAACAATCACGTATAAATTTTGATGGCGCATTTATCAAGAAAATATCAACTTACTTTGTCGACTTCTCCAGACTTCGGTTATTAATGTGAATGATTCCTGAAAATAATTCAAAATGATTGATCGACACACAACACATAGCATCAAATCTGTTGTTCACAAAAATTTATTTCATTCCATTGTGAACACTCAAATTCCTCGAAACAATTGCAAATGAGTTGTAACTCAAAGAAGAGAACACGTTGGTATATTTAGTGAGCAACACTCAACAGGTGTCACATTCCCACGATCAAAACCTACCTACAGAAACTGTACTTTTTGAGTAGTCTCTTGTCATGCACACTCGCCGCATACAACATTATCCGTGTCTAAACCCAACATGCATGCTTCGCCGCTATCTAAAGCGACCTCCTCCTGAGTTTGTGCATTCCTTATTGTGTGGTTATTGTTGTCACTGCTGGCGACTTTTACGCATTTTCAATCAGAAAACTTTCGGTTGAGAATTTGAACCGGACGCCAAGATGTTTTTTCATCGTATTGTTTCGTGTTTAACCTCCGTGAGAAGCGATTGCTAACTGTGATTTGAGTACACAGCACCACAGACATAGGCAATTCGTGAATTCCATAAAAACTTTTTTTCAGTGCTGATTATGAGATTCGCTGACTGTACACTTCATTCGTGTAATAGTAATAATTGAACGGACCTTGTACAATAGCATACATTTGTGTACATACGAAACTTCTAAAGTACCAAAATCTGAGTGAGAGGGTCCCCTGAATTGTTTGCATCATATCAGTGGTGTTAAGGATTCACATGAGCTTTCGTTAATCAAATAGTGCTCATTCATTTAGAACTGTTTTCACATGCTTCTCCTCTTCGCATCTATCATCATCATCATATCATTGTTATAAATGATTTCATGGGAATGTGAATATGAATAAACAAAAACAACTTACAGGCCATGTGAACTCGAAATGAATTTGTGTGCCGTTTCGTAGTTTATTTGCATCAATCGTCATCTCGCCGAA